TTTACTACAGTGTATTCCGTTTTACAGACGTACAAAAAATTTTTTTCCTTTTAGTACATTTGGCTATATAAAATTAAGCGCTCTTTTTTATTACGAAGATTTTAGCAGTCGCTAATAACAAAATTTCAAAAATTGACCAAAATGCTACTGAAAAATGAAGCCGTCGCTGTTTTTGCTCAAAGCTCAATCTTTGTACAAAGGATTTTCAATGATATAGGCGCATTCACTTATATAGCGCGGTTCCGAACGGTAGGAGTATTCCGGTGTATATCGAAGGCGTGACATATGCTTACTGTTTGAATCATTGTAATACTGGTCGTGGATACGATCATCATAGTCAGAAGTTTGCCTACTGAAAAACAAAAAAGAAATATTAGAAACTGAACTCCATAAATTACTGATAAACCAATAAGAATTCAATTAGAAAATTTCAGTACAAATATCTAATTATTAGAAATTGGCATTGAAAAGCATGATATTCAAGCTAAAGATAGTGTTGTTCTGATCACTGACCTACGGAGAATCTCTTTCGGCCCGCTAGGACGCCTACCAACATAGGAATCATAACCATATTTGGGTTCATAAGTTACTGTCTCGACAAATGGACTAACTGGCCTTCCATCGTGAATTGAAACCCATCGACTTTTACGGATCACTTTTTTCATTGGGACTGCATTTTGGCTCGCGGTACTGCTAACTGAGCGCGGACTAACCGGTCCGGATCGTCCAGATCTTGAACTGTTACCCATCGACATTGCTGACCTTGGGGAAATCTGATCTAAAAAGAGGCATATTAAGCATAGCGGAAGAACTTGTTCAAACATTCTCAAAATTTTTGATTATGATTCTTCAAATCAACTATCATGCTTTCTTTTGCTGCCAGTAGGTTAAACACGTTTGAAGCAGAATATCGACTGCCGTTTAGGAACCAGTAAGGATTAAATAAACTTGCCGTTATGTGAATAAATACTTCTGGGGCTATTCGAAATTTTGGAGGCATTTCCATTTTTACGAAGGTCAATTCGAGGGATTGAAAGAGGTAGGGTATCAAAAGGTTCCACAGGTTTCAGAAGATGTTCTCCTCGTACAGGTCCTACTGGCGTTACTGGCCGCACAGGTGTTGCAGGCCGGACCGGGTCTTTGGGCTAAAATTTTACCTAACAGTCTATTATTAGTCTCAAGAAAGACGTAAGCGTGACAAAATTTTTTAAAACTTTATGAGATTGTGATTCAAGGAAAAAAAAAGAGAGATGGTTAAAATTGTCAATCTTTGTCGGTATTGATCTGATCATTAGTTAGCAAATTTTGATCACCACAGTCACCATTCTAACACCACAAAGCTCATTTTTTATTCTCATTTCATTTTTATTCTTTATTCAAAAAACATTCTTTTTTTCTTATAGTTTCTTTTTGGCTATTTACGAGATAGTTTTGGGTGGCTAATCAGAGCTGATCCAAATACCTTCAAATTTTAACCTCAAACAGGGAATTAAGCTAAAGAAGATACACAACCAAAAGGCTGTCTAGTAGAGATTAAAAATAAAAAAAACAATTAAAAAGGTTTACTTCTAAATTGTAGCAAGAAAAAACTATCTTTTAGTCTAAAAAAAAGAATATTTTTCATATTGGAGCAGCCGTCTTTTGCAATATTTCTTTTATGTCATATATCAGACAAGAGTGATTTAGACTGCAGCATAAAAAGCGTTGCAAAAGTTGCAACAGGTAATTTAGGTCATTTTTACTGTGATGTTGAAGTCAAGTTTATCGTACATTTGAGACCAACGTACCACTAAAATATTCTGTTTTTATGATCTACCAGTATATCTTTACATACGTGTGCAATTTAAAGCATTCTGCATAGATGAGTACCTAAACACAAAGACAAACAGGTTGAACATACTGATTTTTAAAACATAAATTTGAAACAAACCTGAAATGATGGGGAACTAAGTGAAAGAGTTTTAACGACTCTAAGCAACAGTGATACAACGTACATTTGTAACAGAGATAAACTAAAAAAATCGTTTCTGACTTCAAAGAAATTTTTGTTGTGCTATTTCTATGCGTAAAAGTAGAAGAACCAAAAAAAAAGGTTTTTTTTCCTTTGAGAAAAAAGAGCACTTGAAAATGAAAAAAATAAATTAGCGGAATGCTTTTCACTGTTTATTACGTCTAGAACAATCCAAGGAACACTATGCCGACAATATCACTACCACACAAAGTATTGTCTTCTTCTTCTTTTTCTCGTTTAGTATATTTTTGAATACATATGTACCTATCTTCTTTCTTCTTCACTTTTTTCCTCTTCTTTTTCTTCTTATCAGAAAAAACTACTTCTTCTGCCTTTTCTTAATTACGACATCATCAGTAAACAACAAATTTTTTGCTGCGACAAATACAACGCTAATAAAAAGTATCAGAAGATTTGCAGATCCTCAAATAGTAATATATTTGTTAGTCATTGATACAAAATGTACATTCAATATTTACAGATTTTAGTAAAAATCCTTATAAAAAATAAATGTTGTCAAATTTTTGATAAGATTACCTTATCTGCAGGAAACTCAACAACTTCATACATTAATCCAGAAAGAATTTTTGTTTTTGAAAACCTAAATGGTTACAGATTCTCAAAGAAAAAAAAAAAA